TGAATAAGCAATCGATGGCAGATCTCTCTCGCACAGGTGATGTTTTTGCATGCGTTTTGTGTGTGACAGAGACAACCAGCTGGTTATGCTTCCGCTTCAGCAGTGTGTGTTGCCAGTGCTCGTAAGCTTTTACTCATGGGTAAAATATACATGTTATCATGCATAGGGTGATGTTAATTATTTGGAATTTATACTTAAAATCACTGTGGCAATCTAAAAAACCCATGAAGTTTCAAATGTTTTCTATATAAATAAAAAAAATTGTGGCAGTTCACACTAGTGGTACCAAGCCTGACAGAAGTGTGGTGCTGGGGGGTCATCCTGCTTCTCTTTATTTTTCCTTTCTTTCTTTGCTTCATTTTTGCTTCTTGGTCCAATTTTTTGTATGTTTCTTTTTATTTGATTCTTTTTGTCTCTTTCTCGTTTGCCCCGCCGCGGTGGTCTAGTGGCTAAGGTACTCGGCTGCTGACCCGCAGGTCGCGGGTTCGTATTCCGGCTGCGGCGGCTGCATTTCCAATGAAGGCGGAAATGTTGTAGGCCCGTGTGCTCAGATTTGGGTGCACGTTAAAGAACCCCAGGTGGTCGAAATTTCCGGAGCCCTCCGTTACGGCGTCTCTCACAATCATCCGTGGTTTTGGGACGTTAAACCCTACATATCAATCATCAATCTCTTTCTCGTTTGGACTATTTGTGTTTTTATTTCTCCTTCCCTTCTTCTTTCCTCTTTTTATTGCTTCCTCTTTCTTTCATTTTTTCTCAATTTCTGCTTTTCTTTCATTCTTGCTCTGTTTTTCTTATTTATCATTTTTTATTATCTGTTTCTCTCTTGTTCAAGGTGTTTTTCTGTCTATTTTTTATGTCTTTATTCTGTTTACTTCTGTCTTCCTCTTTCTTGCTATCACTTTTTTCTTTTGTCTTTTTCACGTGTTTAACATGCTGCACTCTGCCAAGTGGAATTTTTATTTAATGCTGGTGCCTGCTTTACTTCGTAGCTGGGCTTGCACAACTTCTGAGGCACAGACCCACCTGAGGACTTACGTGCGACAGAGCACAAGTTGCTGATAGCTTAAATAGCTTTTCTCCTAAAAAAATAGTTAGGAGCTGTTTCACTCTGTTTGCTGGACAACCAGCAAAGCTGTTTAGTGCATGGCACAGACATGACAAGGGGGAGACTAGTTTTGTATGAAAGGCCAGGTTACCGGTTGGGCTATTAACATCCATTATGCATTATTTTCTGCAGTGCTTTTTAAGGGCACTAGAGAATGTCCTAGTCATATATAGTTTCACTGCAAAAGGAAAACAGCTTATTATATCATCATAATCATTTTCAGGCGTGTAAGTCAACTTCAAGACGAAGGCTTCTCCCAATGATCACCAGTTTATCCTACCCTATACGTGTCGATTCGATTTTATTCCTGTGAGTTTTCCAATTTTGTCACTCCATCTAACTCTCTGCCTTTGCCAACTGCATTTCCTATGCTTGGTTACCATTCTGTTGCTCTTAGTCTCTACACTGATTCCCTGTTCTGAGCATTACGTGACCAGCCCAGGTCTATTTTTTTGCACTTCATGTCAGCTAGCATATATACTACTCCTGTCTGTTTTATTGCCCATTCTGCCATCCTCCGATCTATTTATCTTAATGTTATTTCTATCATTCTACTTTCCATTGCACGCTGTGTAGTCCTCAGCTTTTGCTCTAAGTTTTGTTGCAAATCTTCATGTTTCAGCCCCATACATCAGAACTGGCAGTACGCAGTGGTTGTAATACATACTTTTTACTTTAATGATAGGAGCGGATTTCCCAACATTATTTGGGAGTGCATGCCGAATGCACTTCAGCCCGTTTATAGTCTTCGGTGAATTTTTATTGTGTGATTAAGTTGTCCTAGGTATTCTCGTATACACTCCAATAGATGGTTTTCGATCTTAAATTCTCTGTTTTGCCAAGCTATTCAACATTATTTTTCTTTTTGCCATATGAAGCCTAAGTTAATACTTTCTCTGTTTAATTTCTCAACCACATTTTGCAATATGTTGCAATCATTTCTGAAGAGCTTGATGTGGCATGCAAATTGTGGGCTGTTAAGTCATTCTCCATCAACCTTGATTTCCAGTTACTCCCAGTCTAGCTGTTTAATCAGTTTCTCCAAGCATGTGGGCCCTTATTTAATGCATTTTTGAACACTTTCATCATGGATGCCTGGCTTAAATGAGGTCTTCTTCTCTCAAGAGACATAAGGCATGTGCAAGTGACACTCTCGAAACATTGCAAGGATGCTCTTGCTATAGCACAGGGAGCCCTCAGTGAGAGGAAAAAGAGTTGGCTTTCTGAGTGATGTCATGTTGTGCCCAGAAATAGTGCAGTCAATACAGGAGAAAAAGAACCTGGCTTTTGTATAGTGATCGTAGGGGAATACATTGGTGACAGTGTGAATATTTAGCGTTCAGGCACTGTTGTATGCCGTGGTGTTTGTCGACCAGTTCTGCTGATAAGTATGTAGATGTATGTAGAGTTATTTCATCAAGTGCAATTTTTAGTATCCAGTGTTATGTTTATTTTCTAGTTTTGAAATAAAAAAAATATCACTGAAGAGGTTATTGGAGAACACCTAAGTGCATGACTATCTATTGACACTCAAGTGTTTTATGCCGGCGGCGTCCACCACGGCTCCGCTGGCGTATTTTTGTCAGGTATGCGGCATTATGAAATATATAGTAGCATATGGAAAAAAAGAAAGCTAGAAGTTCTTTTGTCATGAGTCGAACCTATGATCCGTTGCTTCGCAGTGCGCGGCGCAAAACGACTTGGCCATTCTTTAGTATGTTAGCATTCTTCAGTGTACTAACGGCGAGCTATTTATACTTGCCATCTACTGTTGGCAGTACTCGGAGCTCGGTGGTACTTAAGCGTGTTCTTGTTACCACAGGCTGAATGGGGCGAAGGGCATGCTTCAAATGTCATCGCCTCGTGCATTTGTCCGAGCGTGCCTCTACCGGGCGTGGTTGCTCATGCGTACATGCTTGTCTTGTGAGGGGGGTGGTTTGTACGTCTTGGGCATTCACCGAAAGCCTGCGCTGAAGTTACGGAGGGCATGAAGGTTACTTCACTCACTGCAGTGACTGACAAAAGTAGTGCACTGCTAACACACAAAGAAGCAGTACCTATAACATTTGTTAGCTCACACTCGTTTTGTATATACTTGTGAATTCGTTTCGTGCACCCATCATCGTGTTTGAGCAGCATGTTTTAAGTGTAATGTTGTGACAGTTAGTTCCTGCTCATCCTGTGTGTGTCCTTCCGGCTTGAGCAGCATGCTGCATGTTTCTAGGTGCTTAATGTTCTTGGCATTAAGTTATAATTTGTTGCTATAGCACTCAGTCCTTCATCCTTGTGGTGAAACGATGCATATTAAATGCACAGCTACCTTTGGAAAGACAGCTCCACCACGGCAATCTAGTGGCTAAGGTACTCGGCTGCTGACCCGCAGGTCGCAGGATCGAATCTTAGCTGCGGCGGCTGCATTTTCGATGAAAGGGAAACTGCTGTAGGCCCGTGTGCTTAGATTTGGGAGCATGTGAAAGAACCCCAAGTGGTCGAAATTTCCGGCGCCCTCCACTGTGGCATCTCTCGTAATTATATGGTGGTTTCGGGGTGTTAAACCACACATATCAATCAAACCTCTGTGAAGACATGTTTAACTTTCGTGTGGTACCTATTTCTATGTTGGACAGTTCAGCCATGTGGCGAGCTTTTGAGATGATTTGGTTCATGAGATTCGCTATCAATATAAATAGTTGTGGCTCTTTATAAGAACTTCATGATTAATTATTCAGGTGCCTGAATGTTAACGTAATTTCCTTCTTTAGTTTTCTCCAGGATGTGAAGCTAGCTGCGTCCATGGGGCCCCAGGATTCAAAACTATCTGTCCCTCAGTTCTCTAAGATGAAATCTTTTGCTGCTCAAAAGTGCTCCTAAATCAAAATTTTGCTTCTGAAATAATTTCTTCCAAATCAGAAATGCACAGCAGCATCACTGACTATTAGATGCCGTTAGGCTCTGGCGCTATAAAATTCATATCAGATTGGGTCTTAACCTGTTGGCTTCCGCACGCTCTGCGGTCGTTCCCGCTTGACCTTCGGCAGGAAAATTTTCGCCCCTATCCACAGCATGGGTCCGTGCACCTAAACAGCATTAAAATTGACAACAAACGTCGTAGAATAACAAACTGTTTTATTCACTTAACAATGATAGACGGCATCTGGTGCTTCAGTATGATTTCCGTGCGTAGAAAAGTTTAAAGCACATGGACATCTGAATAGCAACTTCATATTTTTCGCACTCCCATCTGCTCACACTCTTTTTGCTATGTACCTTGCAAAATTAGCAAAATATTGATGGCTTCTGCTTCATTTTGTTTGCCTGGATGTGGCAAGGAAAATGAACCTGTTCGGCGGTTTGTTGGCGCATTGGTGAGGCCGCGATAGGCGGGTTTTTTCCGCGTTTGTTCCGCAACGCCTTGTATCGAAAAAATCGTGATAGTGCACCTTTTGCAAAGAAAAAAAAACTCATTTACAAACTGCTAGAGTCATGGAAGACTATGTTCATCTAGGGGATAATACACCAAGCAAAAGGCAAACACAACATACTGTGCTGCCATTTATAAAACAATGTCAAATAAACATTTTCTAGGTGGAGAGCGATTCGCTGGTCAAAGCGCTTTTGGCCCTGCCAACCCGGCTGGTGGATCATTGGCCGTGGAAGCCAGTGCGTTTAGAATCACTTCTTGCACACCCCTAATTGTGCTGGTTATGTTTGCATAACTTATTGTGTCTTGAATTTGGTAATTTAGTAACTTCAGAAAAAAAGGAATATTTCGTCAACAAAAAGGAGTGCCTTGGCACTCCCAGAATGCTTACAGGATGATGTTCAAAGTTGTGAGAGGGTCAAAAGGATATTTATTCATTTTTTAAATTGAGCGCATGATTCTTACTTTCAGGCAAATGCTCCTTGTAAAAGAAGACTACTTTGTTTCAATGCGTGAAGAGCCCTGTCTTGGCACGATTAATGTAGCCTTTGATGAAGACAAGCTGACCTTGACGCTGACGGCAAACGGCTATCCGCCTCTGGTGATTGATATGCAAGACACAGAGGACCAAAGGAAGTCTTCATTCACTGTCAGGCAAGTATTTTTTGTTTGTCATTGTTGAATGGTAAGCTCGTCTTATCAATCAGTCGTGTGCTTACCCCTACCTATCAGACCAGACTTTTTTCTGTCAGCTGTGTCTTGTTTTTATATTGGACTGCAGCTCTTTTTTTTTGCCATTTATAGATGGTTCCGCCTGAGCCTGCCGGTCTCTGGCAACATTGTTCGTACACCGGAAAACCACTCCTGGAAACTTCGGGTTTAGCTTACTTTTGCGTGGTTTTAGTCTTTGTTGTAGGCCACGGCTGCTTGTGTTCCGATGTTTTATGCGGATAAAGTTATTCCGATGAAGTGTTCGCAACTCAGGCTCAGCTGTGTCAAGCCAGGATGCAGTCTGCAAGCCTGAACTAATTCTACACGCAAGTCGAAACGCTCTGTTTTCCGACTGATCACGATAGAGAGAGTGCCTGCATTGCAGCGATCACGCAAGAAAACTGACTTTCCACTAAACGCGTAGGTTTGTTTTGCCCACTTTAATAAAGGCAATGTAAAGCTCAGCGCAGACTAATGGCACAGAGGTGATACTCAGACGTTAGACTATAGTCGAATGTGTTCCCGTTGCCCCCTGGCAATGGGAACACATCAATTGCTATCGTGTTCTATTCATTGGAGATAAGTGTACTGACGCCTAAAATGGGTAGCAAGACATGAAAGCTAACCCTGAAAATTTATCGCAAGGGTTTTTCGTACTTGCCAAGTCTCCCGGATTGGCCGGGAGACTCCTAAATTCGGACCATTTCTTCCGTTTCTACGGTTTTCTTGAAAATCTCCCGGAAATCGAAATTTCTGTGCGTGATCTGGCCGCATTGACAAAAAAGCAGCTCGGTACGCTCCAGGCTTTTCTAACCTACCCCATTATATTACGAATGAGTAAGAGGTGTTCATCTAAACATACAGTAGAATCTCTGTGATGCAAAATCGCGGCAGATAGGAATTCGGGAAATTCCTCAGCCAAATTCCACTATGTCTATTGGGCCTAAATTCGAATGTTCTAAGCACATTTCCTAATTGCGGCGGGTGATACGGACTTTAGTACGGAAATTGTTGAACGAAGGCTGAAAGCAGCGTATGCGAAGCTTCGGAAGTACGCGTGCCTCCAGTGCTCACATTGCCTTCTACAGTGCATGGTATTGTCGTTGCCACAACCGCTCTAGTCAAAGCCGTGGTCGCTCTTGACATAATCATGCATGGCGATGACGTAACTGACAGAGCCCCGAAAGTGTGCGCTCAACCAGTCAAAGCAATGCTGCTTCCGCAAACTCTGTGGACAAAACTGCGGCAGATGTGATCGTAGGTGGCATAAAACGACTTAGTTTTGAAGGCACATGCGCAGCCAAGCACACGGGGATCGTGAAAGGAACTACCGTTCTCCGCAACGGCCGCGCACAAAACCGCGGTCGTGGCGACGCGGTAGCGATCTACGAGCTCCGAAGACACGCAGTGGTAGATTAAAGGCCGTAAATATAATATAAAAAGTCACAGTTTTGCCCTAAGGGCAAAGCAATGAATGTGACTGCGGCAACTTGGAGGGTCACGCTGAGAACGGCAAGCAGATTGAAACATGCAGCGCGCTGCTCACTCACAAATGACGTACTAAAATGATACACAAAGGACGAGAGTGAACTAACAACGTTTGCCGCTCGGCACGTAATGCGCTGTTTAAAGAAAAACGATGCACGATAGGTAATCACAAGTACAGATGAGTAGTACAAACTAATAAGTGTCCCAGTTATACCTGGCTATGTATGAAAAACGCGCTCTTTTCACAAAGGAGACCTCTGCAGAGACGGAAGTGACCTTTGTGGGCCGGGCAACTAACGCAATCGTTCCAGTGAAAGCCAAAGGCACACGACTCTTCCCACCAAAAGATAAGCCTGCACGCACAAGTATCTACCCCCCTTCCCCCATCCGCGGTGCATAGTACACATAAAAAAAAAAGAGAAGGAAAGCGAGTTGGCGCATTGCGACGAGCTGGGCACCGAGTGCGGGCGGCTTTGTTTTTTTTCGTGAGTATATACGTATACATGTATACGTATCTATATATATATATATATATATGGAGACGTATACATGTACGGTGAATGACAGCGGCGACGGCAGAACACCAGCCTAAGCTGTCCATATAATTGCAATAAAAGGGGCCAGACACGTTTTGGCATTCCTTTCAAAAGAATCTAGTAGTGAGCAAAGCGTTGACTCGCGCTTTTGCGGCACCAGCTGCGCCGTCCCATCCGTTCAGGTGTGTCCCAGGAAGACATACACGAGTTGTTTTGAAGGAAATAGATTCTGCTAGCTGTGTTGAGCCTTTGAGACTCTCACCTTAGTGGGAAGCCATACCTTCATGTGTTCGGCCACTTTAAGCCACTATAAGACCGCATCACTGATGTTGGCGCTTGCGAATGAGACCCCCTCTTGTTTTTTCCATGTCTTTTTGCTTGTTTGTGCATGGTTTTTTTTTTGTGCCCAAAAAAAAAATAGGGGCAAATAGTTCATTGCATCCCCCCTCCCGTTGCAGAAATCTCCCGAATTCAGAATCCTTGAACTTGGCAGGTATGGTGCTTCTTGTATAGTTTGAACGATATCAATGATGTGTACTGTTCGAAACAACATGGTACACAATTAGCGGCGCTTAACATGAATCGCCGGGCAGTGTGCGCGTGGTGTCCATGTTTCTTAGTCATTACATTTGATTTTTTTTTTAAGTGACACCGGCGAGTGAGCTGTCACCTGTGCGAGAAAATGACTCATCGCCTGTCTTTCTGACGCTAATGAACATTGACGCATTTAGCTAACTTATCTTTTGGTGTGAACGTGGTTTTTCGGTTGGTTCAACTTGAAAGCTTCATTCATGAATAGCTTACTAGTAAACCGTAATAGTTCGCATGACCCAGCCGCAGTTGACGTCAGCACATAATCGGCATATTTTATAATTTCTTAGTCACATGAGCACTCCGGATCGCGAGTAATTCCAATCGCCGCTGATCGCTATAAAAAGGGCCCGTGTGACACAGGCACAGATATAATGAAGGGTTTTATGCTGAGGTTATGTGCTTAGACGAATGCACAAATATGTTTGGGGTTCGACAGAAGGAAGGTTTTCAGTTCTAGTCGAAAAGCTGAATTGAACTACTTCACTATGGATCTTTCTCCTGCATGTCGATAATGTGTGGGTGGGTGCGCTTCTACAGACAGGTGTGCGCTGTTAATTCCCTGTCCACGTATTCAAAGCGCATCTATATTGTCGACATTTTAAGTTCGCTGACAACCTTCTCCTGTAGTTTATGTATATTCTATTTGTAGGCAGGGCCACTGTCAGAGGTAACATGGAGCAGGGGACTGCGCTCTTCGAAACGTCATGAAGGATATTTTGCATGGCGCCCGTTGGCCACGTGAGCCATGTTACCTGCAGCAATGGCCGCGCCTGTACCTGCCATGCTCTACGTCGAGCCTTTTCATGTTGCCGCTTGACCTTGCTTTAAGCACATCCTAAGAAATGCGCCAGAAATAATAGAGTAGCAAACTTAAGCACAACACGAAAACACCGCCGGGACAATTGAAAATACATTACTGGAGATACCGCACTGGAAGTATTCTGGGGTAGGCCGTTTGGGGCAAGCCAGTTTATTTACAAACACCGAAACAGTTATAGGTAAGGTTGAAAAAAAAAGTTTATTCTATGTTGCAGGTTCATAGAATTTTAATTAAAATGACATAAACTCAAACATTGTCATAATCATTGATAAGCTTTAACGTGGCAAAGTAGTGCCTGACTTCCTTCATTACTGTTCACATAGAAATTTTGCTGCACTAACTAAATGGATGGTTAAACACTTTGTAAATAGTATGGGGAGTGTGTTTACTAAAAACTTTCATTTTTGCTCAACCATCAGTGTAAGCTGGTCTTATAACCTCGATCGTCAGCTGAAGTAATTTCAATGGGTAGCTTACTGACTAAATGTTCTGCTTTATCAAGCAGTTTTTTAAGCAATGAGTGGCTGTGTCATAGGAAAGTAATTTTATGTGGGCAAAATATATTTGCAGAATGTGGTAAAGCTGACCAACACATTGCCTTAAAGGGACACTAAAGTCAAATAACAATCTGTCAGAATGAAAGCTCAATGTAGTCGCCAACCGATTGTTTGGACTCCCAAAATTCGGACTTGTTGGATATTTTGGACTTCAAAAGTGCACTGCCAGGGTTCCCATAAGGCTAATGCATTTTTTCGACTGATTTTTTGGACGAATTTGCCCCCTAAAGTTGGATTTTTCTGGCTAAATCGCTTGTTTTGAGCCGCACCACAAATCTGTATGGACGCTACCATGTTGGATTTTCTGCCAGCTTGGCTAAGCTTAGTGGCTTAATTTTAAAATGGCTGTCCTGTCTTCAAGATTGGAAAGTAAACGTCATATTTCAAGTTTCGGAGGCCGTGTCTGCTTTAAAAAACGCGGCACGAGACCATTTTCTTATCTTCGGTCAGCCGTAGGGGTCAGCACTGTCGTCAATGCATCGTACAGGGAGGAGGCTGAGCTGCGCAGTAGTGGAGTGAATGTGCTTGCCACAGTGACATTAGGGAGTTTTAAAATAGCGCACCGCGAGTCCTTGCGGTGCGGTCACTGCATGCACATGCGTCGTAACGCAAGTCGCCGTTCACGGCCTGCCTGCAGAAAATCCGAAATAGCATGCGGCGATCGCGGCTCGCGAGACCCGCGAAGTGTTGTGTGTAGCTTTCGTGCATTTGAGTTTGCGGTCCGGGCGAATGTCCCTAGACCTTTTTCTAGGGGGAGCAAATGCTATTCTAAAACTCGTAATGCGTCCGCTATACCCGCAACGCCCGCAGCACCTGCAAACGTTATTCTAAAGTTCTCTATTTAAAGATTTCGCTCATGCGGACGATGAGAATTTCGTGCGCGAAGTCCACAGATGAAGAAATTCTTCGCCAGGTTGTGCCGCAGCCGGAGAGCGGTTCGGATGATGA